ATGTAAAATAATACAGTATATAATACAAGGCATTATGGAAGCTGTTTATTGTATTCTTTTTAATTCTCATTTTCATGTCCAAATATGTTTGGGTTTTTTTTCCATTTTCACATCTCACTTCCCAGCCCTGTTCTATTCAAATACTAGCCAAAATTGCGAGAAGAAACCCCTTAAGTCACTACACTTGATAAGATGGCTAGAAAATTTACCAAAGAGAAATATCCAAATAGAGCCTGTTTCTCCTATGGAACTGGAGATGTTATTTGCAATACATTTCTAGCATTTTATTGCTGCTGGAAAAAAAAGGATAACTACCAAGATCTTGCTTCATGAAGAATTACTTTGCTTAGTTGCTGTTATGTCTCTTTTTACAAATACTAAGGTTCTTCCAAGGGCAATATGTTGCAATGCATACATTTCCAACAGTAAGTAATTCTGTTTTCTGTTTGTTTTATCTGTGGTAATATTCCTATTGGTTTTTCAAAGTAGGAGACGTATCCTATTCCTAAAGCAGGCAAGCTCTCATTGATTGACCTATTGATAGCATATATCAGGATAATCCTAGATTCTTAGAAGTGTAATCTCCCACTGAAGAAGGCTTTATCCAGTTTGCCCCCAGTATTTCTGTATTGATGAGATCACATTGTACCGTACATTGTTTCCTAATGTCCATGAATTTAGATGTATGCTTCAGTATCCTTGGGGCGAGGATCCCACTGATTGCCCAAATGGTGGTTGTCACTAAATAAGAATGACTATGATGGTGTTCTCCTAGCATTTTAGTCTCCCGAAGAGATTTGTAATAATTTACATTTAAAATAATCTTTTCATTTTTCACTCACATAGTGACTTACTTCCCTTTCCTCAGGGGAATATCATTAACATTACCTGATCTTGGCCATGTGTTCTAAGTTATTTAAGTCATACATTAAAGTTTACTAATTTCAGGTAGGAAGAGTACAGATTGTATACAAAAAAGTTGTCAGAATTCAGAGTGAGAAAAGATCACTGAGACTATAGGTAGCCAATGAGAGCTCTAAGATGAAAATAACTTAGAGCCACCGTCCTTTAGAGAAAAAAATTGAGAATTCAGAAACAGGAAAAGTAGCATCAAGGGTGAGAATGAGAAGTCCATTTTCAAGAAACCCTAAAGATTTTAGTCTGGAAAGAGCTCAGAAGAAGGAAATCATGTTGGATGAATGAAGGAGAGCCAAATGATACAGGAGCTGAACGTGCGTGCACACTAAGGATTTGGAATTTAGTCT